TGACGCGTCGAAACAAAAATTTTTTATTGAAATTTTGTTTGGTACCAATGACTGCGAACTTTAGAATGATTTGTTATATTACATTTTTAAAAAATATATGATAAGAGATTAAAATAAAAGTAAAATCTTGCACTTAACTCATATAATTTTAAATATTTCACGACATGAAATTTATTTTAATTCCCTATATTAAAGAACCAGTTGCTAGTAGAAATTGAACATGGATCTACTGGTGTCTACTGGTTTTAACTTCGAAATCCGATTTATGTAACTGAAACGAATATCCAATATAAAATTGAAATGGATTTATTCTGGATTGTCCTCTTCAATTTTTGTTTCGAATTGTTTTAACATGGATTTCTAATCTTATAATTTTTACTTGTATTTCCAAGTTCGCACATACTAAAAGTATCAGCTTGCAATTCCAAATACAAAAATTAAGTTTAAGTATCTACTTGGTTCAATTTTGATTCTCGAATACTACATTCTACTTGACATGTCAAATTAAAAATCATCAAGCTAAGTTTAATTTCAATCGGGGATACATTCAGTTCTATTTGGAATTTCAAGTTCAAATTTAAAGAGTTTGATTTATAGCGAATTGGAAGTCACAGAATTGTTATTTTCGCCAATTGTTATTTTGTAAATTGTCATTTTTGCAAATGTTGACGTTGTTGTATCCTACGAAAGACAACCACATAGAAACTCAAAAGTACATATTACACCTTATTTTAAAAAAATGTAAAACTTAGGTTTTAGGGACTAAATTCTATCTAGCGAGAGGGATGCTATAGTCAGCAAATATATATATCCCCACTTGCATTGTTTCATATTCGACATGAGCTGCAAAACGTTTTTGCAACTCAGTCTTATTCCTGCCTATAAAGTGTAATATTGAGTATTATAATAAATTGTCACTCTCAGAAATGATAGAAAGTAATCTGTGTCTATTCTATAAATTAGACCACCTAAAATTCAAAAAATTTATTTTTCGCCAAAATGTTGTTTTTTCTATAGTGTTTTACATAAAAAACAGTATATCAAAGGATTTGCCAAAAAAAAATTTTGTCACTATTAAAAACAATTAAAGTTTTTAGACACATTTTTAAAAAAAATTAATTAAAAAGAAACTTGTTAAACGATTTTAATGATCAAGCATTCTTTTTTATTTAAGTCAAAGTTTTGAATAAAATTTTTTCGTAAAGAAATATTAAAATTTAATAATTAACAAATTATTTATTTATAACAAATGAGCAAAAAACCATGTTCGCAATCGAACATTTCTTGATTACCACTGACTAATACCGTTGAGAAGGAAAATGGCACGGCTTGGACAACTGACTTATTTAAACATTGTTTATCGCGAGCAGAACGGGATTTGCATGTTACGTCGTGCGCACATATATTTGACGCGGGAATATAAAAGAATATCAGAGAAATATCAAAAAACCTATTGAAATAATGTTGAAGTGTTTCTTATGGACGAAAAAAAATATAGCAATTTATTTAATTGTTTAAACAATTAATTGTTGTTACTTTTTTATAAACAATAGTTAGGGCTAGAAATTTCTAGTCTACTCTCAATTGCTCAATTTTTCAATGAGTAAAACATCCACTAATGATAACAAATTAATTATTTAAACATTGTTGAAACAATTAATTGTTGTTTTTTTTTTATAAACTGCAATTAGGGTCATTCCAGCGAAAATCGTCTAGAGCTGGTTGCTCGATAATTTTAAAAAATGATGTAATTAATATATAATATTCTTCAATGCAACTAGATTATCCTTTAGTGGTTTATAGCACCAAATATATTTTACATTCTTTTAAATAATTATTTTAAATTTCTAACTGGTTATAAAGTCTACCATAACCCATTTTTCGAAAACTCAGTATAAATAACTAAAAACAGATTAAAAATACTGCTTTTTATTTTAAATATATATATTTTTGTTAAATACATCTAAATAAACGAAAATTATTTAAAAATAACTCAGCAGAACATTTAAATCAGTATTTTTTTGTACTTGCACAGTATAATAAACATCATTTTCTTTTTCTTATATCTTCTGTGGAGAAAAAGGAATCTTTACGAAACCTTTTAAACTGGATTTGTTTTAAAATTATAAATTTATTTTAATTGAAATTTCCTTGGGCACTCTACTCATTAATTATTTAATAAATATGAAAAATTATATAAATTTAACCTGATTTTTATTGAATTTCAGTTTTCATGACTAGACTGAAGTTTGTTTTCTTTAAAAAAACGATAAGGTGATGAACTTCAGTCTAGTCATGAAAACTATAATTTAATGAAAATCAGGTTAAATTTATATAATTTTTCATATTTATTAAATAATTAATGAGTAGAGTGCCCAAGGAAATTTCAATTAAAATAAATTTATAATTTTAAAACAAATCCAGTTTAAAAGGTTTCGTGAAGATTCCTTTTTCTCCGCAGAAGATATAAGAAAAAGAAAATGATGTTTATTATACTGTGCAAGTACAAAAAAATACTGATTTAAATGTTCTGCTGAGTTATTTTTAAATAAATTTCGTTTATTTAGATGTATTTAACAAAAATATATATATTTAAAATAAAAAGCAGTATTTTTAATCTGTTTTTAGTTATTTATACTGAGTTTTCGAAAAATGGGTTATGTTAGACTTCATAACCAGTTAGAATTTTAAAATAATTATTTAAAAGAATGTAAACGATATTTGGTGCTATAAACCACTAAAGGATAATCTAGTTGTATTGAAGAATATTGTATATTAATTACAGCACTTTTTAAAATTATCGAGCAACCAGCTCTAGACGATTTTCGCTGGAATGACCCTAATTGCAGTTTATAAAAAAACAACAACAATAAATTGTTTCAACAATGTTTAATTAATTAATTTGGTATCATTAGTGGATGTTTTACTCATTGAAAAATTGAGCAATTGAGAGTAGACTAGAAATTTCTAGCCCTAACTATTGTTTATAAAAAAGTAACAACAATTAATTGTTTAAACAATTAAATAAATTGTTATAGTTTTTTTCGTCCATAAGAAACACTTAGCATTATTTTAATAGGTTTTTTGATATTTCTCTGATATTCTTTTATATTCCCGCGTCAAATATATAAAATATATGTGTTGCAAATATATGTGTTTATTATATAGGATAAACAAGGTTTAAATAAGTCAGTTGTCCAAGCCGTGCCATTTTCCTTCTCAACGGTATTACTCAGTGGTAATCAAAGAATAAGTGCTATTTTTTTCATTTCAAAATTCGATTGCAAACATGGTTTTTTGCTAATTTGTTATAAATGAATAGTTTGTTTATTTATTAAATTTCAATATCTTTTTACGAAAAAAATTTTATTCGAAACTTTGACTCAAATAAAAAAGAATTCCTCTTGAATAATTAAAATCGGTTAACAAGTTTCTTTTTAATTAATTTTTTTAAAAACAGTGTCTAAAAACTTTAATTGTTTATAATAATACGAAGTGTGACGAAAGTTTATTAGGAAAAATTTGTGAATTCCAAAAGAGCTCAGTGCTATCTTCGTCGACAAACAAATAGTATGCGTGTTTTTGGTTAATATTTGAACCAGTAAATTTATTATAATTGTATTTAAAGAAATTAATTTATAAGTGGAGTGCTTTTAGAAATTTTAATTAAATATCTTTTTGTTAAGTATTACTTTGTTTCGAATATATTGATTGAAATGTTTTTATATTTTTTTTATTTTCAATTTCCTTCTTATTAACGAATTAAATTTATACCACAAGAAATCAAATTTAGAATTTTTTCTTAGACTTGTGCGAGTGTGAACAACTGCGTTAGCACAATTTTGACTCATTTTAGGTAAACTTAAAAGTGTTTGAAGACCACGCACCGTGACTTCAAATTAATATTCCGCAAGTCCGAAATACCTTGTCTATCAAGATTTATAAAAATCGTTTGGTTTTTAAATTTGTCCGCCATTTTGGATACGCCTTTTTGAATTACTAAAAACTGACTTCAGATTTGTAATTAGCGACCCCAAAAACCCTTAAATACGAAGTTTTATAAAATTCCAAAAATTATAGGGCAGTATTCAATATATTGATTTAGCTTAGGGCTAGGTTTTGAGATAAGGGTTGAGATGATAAATTGAAAATAGTAGGCTGTAAAATGATATTACAATTAATCAACGATTTTTTTTTTAAATCTTAAATTTTTTAGTTTTATTGGTATTTTTTTTAAATAAATCGAAATAGGGGTAGTTTTGGTGTTAACGGTTAGACCTGAAATATTAGTAAGTGTATGTTTAATAGTCCCAATTACGTTTAACCCTTAAACCGCACCCTGGGTGTGCGACACCCATGTTCTAGCTTTTTACTCTAATATCTCGTTTAAGGTCGTAAAAATGGAACATATGTCGTTATTGGACGACACATTTTGTACTTAACTTTATGTTCCGTGAGGGACATTAAAGTCCCCGGGTGTCGCACACCCAGTGTGCGGTTTAAGGATGGTTTTGGAAGTGTGCGGTTTAAGGGTTAACCAATTTTTAAATAAAAATTTCCCATTTTTATAGATTTTTTGCAATACAATTGGTTACCTTCTATTTAAGGGTTGTTTTTACCCCTAAAAACTGTAAACGAATTGATCTCGAAAAATGGCTAAACTCGGGTATCTTTTTTAGCTCTAGTTTCCGAAAATCCTTAGTTCTTTCATGGGTGCAAAATCGTGTCGGACGGTGATATAATGAGAAAAAAATTATTTTTATGAGGCATTTTTGTTAACTCTGGGGATTTAATGATTACCAACTACTTGCTCATTTTCCCAAAATAAATTAAATAAGATATACTCTTAGAAAATAAAATAAAGTTTAAACAAGTTTTATGCAATGATACAACAAAGGTTAAAATTCACTGGCAGGTATTGAAACCCGTCAAAGAAGGGTTTGACAGCTAGTATAAAATAATATCTTCATAACGTGACGCCAAATAAATTTCGATGTTAATATAGTTCTAAAAAAATTTTATTCAAAATTTTGCAATTAATATAAATAAAGAGAATTAAATAAAAAAAATTAATAGTAAATGTTGAAAGTTAAAGTAATGTGCACTTTTGATTTAATTCATTTAGTCCTTATGTCATCTAGGCGTTAATTTTAGTTGTAGCGGTTTTGACGTTTCTGCAATCAATTGTAAAACCATCTTCACTGGCCGTTTGTTTGTACATTCTATGTTAAAGTTTCTAAGGATCTGAAATTTAAAAATAAATTATTTCTTAGACATTTCCGCTTTTATGCAATTTAATAATATTATAACATTTTGGTCCGCAGGGGTACAATTTTGGGGGATTGAATGGCCAAAATTTGTTTAGCTGAAGTTTGCACAAAAAGTTTGCAGCTGAACTACTTCGGTGAGCCGCAGACCAAAAAATGGTCTTTCAGTGTATTATAATTATAATATTTAAGATATTGAGATCGATAAATTAATTGCTTATTAGATGTTTTGCAATTACCTATTCAGAAAAACACAAGAACATCCTTATTCAGTATATAAAGTAAAAACATGAATTCGAAAATTAATCTTCTCCGTCAGATTTCAAATTATCAAGAGTATTACAATTTGATATCAATAATACTTTTCATATTAGAGTATTACAATTTTATATCAATAATACTTTTCATATTAGATAAACAAAATATTAAAAAAGTTTTTATCAATGAAACAAAATAAAAGTAATTATTCATAGAACAATAAAATAAAAGTTCAATTTGAAATTTGACAGAAAAGGTTAATTTTCGAATTCATATGTTTTTACATTATATTCTGATTAAAGATGTTCTTACCTTTTTTCTGAATTGTTCTTGCTTTCTTTGACGAATAAGTATAATATTAATATAATTGATCGACACAAATAATAAATTAAGTAAATCTTTCTTTAAAATGAGAATTAACTGAAAAGAATCACGATAGAAAGTCAGACATGTTATTTGTCTGCAGATTGTAATACTCCAGAAATCTTACTTATCGTATTTGATAATAAATTCTAATTAGAAGAATGCAGTCATACCGCAGCATTTACCTGAGCTAAAGCTAAACTTATTTTGATTTCTGCTAATTTTTTGCCAATGCAACTTCGAACTCCAATGGCAAATGGAATAGTAGCACCAGGTTTGTGAACTCCATAGTAACCACGCTTTTCTAATCGTATCCATCTTTCTGGTAAAAATTTATCTGGTTCCACAAAATTCTCAGAACTTCTACCACTTGAATACAAGCTCATTAAAAGCAGTTCCTAGAAATTATAAATTTTTGCATATAATTGTAAATAATTGTTTTAAATTCCTAGAAACCTCTAGGGAAGCTTTGCGGAATTTAAAAAATTTTAAGATTTTTTTGAGTTTTTTTGAAAAATTATATAAAGTCATTTTTTTATATTTTGCACAAACTAGAAATTATTAATTACCTACGAATTAAGATTTCGAATTTATCAGCAAATAGTGACATGTATTAAAAGTCAATTAAACTATTTAGTTTAGAGTAAGGTGTTTCACACGATAATCATTTCGATATGGTTGTCGATATATAATTATCAATTTAAATTTAATTTTTCTCTGAAAAAATAAGCTGCGTCACTATTTGCTGATATAGTCGAAATCTTCATTCGTAATTAAAATTCTCAACCAGCGAAAAATTCTAATATTAACTGGAAATTATGGCTCAATATTTAAAAATTATTTCTTTTTTTGAAACTATCAAAAGTTATGATCTTCCTGTCCTTTTAATCAAGCTGCCCTTTTGAGTATACATATACATATGTATATATAGTGTACCTTTTTGTTCACTGTATATCCTCCAATAACGGCATCTTTAGATATATATCGGGTGAGAAACGGTGCCGTTGGGTAAAGACGCAGTGTTTCTTTGATAACTCCTTTCAAAAATATGTCAGAAATTATTTCCTTTCCCTCTTTACCTCTAAGTCTGTCGTGAAGTTTCTCTTGCGTTTCAATATTGGTACTTAGTAAATATAAAGCCCACTGCATAGTTGATGTTGACTAGAAAAAAACATCATTTAATACACTGTTAAATAGTAGTTACAATATAAACTTTTTAGATTTTTGCAATATATAGTAATAGTGAATATAAGTAGATATATTACCGTATCTCCAGCTGCAATTATTAAGTCAGCAACAATTCTTACAAGATCCTCAGATTTAATTCCTGCATTCATCATTAAGTAAAGTAATCCATCCCCATTAAGGTTAATTAAAAGATGTACGACATGCTTAACTGCAGCCAGAGCATCATCTACAGAGTTAACAAATTGACGCCACCATAACGAATTTCTCTTTTTTGCATTAGTTGCCGATATCACATTCAATCGACTAGAGCATTGAAATATTTTGTGTAAGATTACAGGTAGTTGGTCTGTTTCTTTTAAAATTTCTTCTTTACACTGGCACCATTTGGAACCCATTAGAGTAGCCAGTATTGCTGGAAATAATTGAATAGGTTAAGTATAAAATTATTTCATTTTTCGTGAAATAAATTTTTTTAGATAATTAGATAATAAAGTATTTATCAATTTATTGTTATTTATCAATTTATCAATTATCTATTTTTAGATAATTTCAAAATAAATATAATCTTATTTGCTTTTCTTGAAATACATGTATTTATGAATAAATTTATAAACTACTTTACCTTGAATAGAAAAATTGTAAATTTCTAATTTTAAGTTTGGCACAACAAGTCCGTTTTTTGCATACGGATTTAAAGTGTCCACCAAATCTTTTGCAACTACATCACACGGATGGATCATGTAGTCCGTAGAATTAGTTTTAAGAAGAAGTTTGTTCAGTATTTTTCGAAAGTGCAACCATTCTTCTCCATCCCTGCAAGTAATTATATTATTTCTTAATATAAATAAGTGATGAAATATAAATGTATTTTAATAAAATTTTACAAATTGAATATTTAGAAATTTCTAAATGTTTAATTCAACAAAGTGAGAGTAACATTCATAAAATTAAAGTATGGAATAGATAAATAATCGACCTAATATGCAATTATTTAAATTTAAGTTGAATAGTTTTACTTTTAATCAATTTAAAACTTATGAACTATAAAAATATTAAATTTATTTACATGAAAAAAAGTCCGCGTTGTTTTTTAAATTCTTCGTTGTAAAGAATCCAAGCTTCTGGTAAGAAGTGTTTTGGTGTCGGTCCTTCCAATTCCAGAAAAATTTTTCGGTATTCTTCTGAGGAATTTATAAAAACTGTTGAAGTAGACCCAGCATTACTCCGGTAAATAGGACCTAATTTTTTATGCCTTTGATCAACATATTCGTGTAGCCGTGCTCCCCATCTTGAAGCAATAAGGAAACGAATAGTACTCCAAATAGAAACTATAGGATCTTCTGGCATTTGACGAATTGAACCTGTAGAGTTCACACTGACATTAGACTTATTTATCTTTGGTTTACTTTTTTCCTCTAATTTTTGAAGCAAAACACTATTTGCTCTTTTGGTGCAAAGTTCAGAAATTACACGAACTTGATTTTTACAAAATTGGGTAAAAGAGGAGAAGATATTGTTACTCATTTTTCATTAATAATGAATTTGACTTTATCTGTAAGAAACAAATATAATAGTGTAAATATAAATAATTTGGTTAGTTAATAATTACAATTCTTATTGATTATTATATTAATTAATTTTACTTCATTTATGCCCAATTAGAATAAATACCTTACTAAAAACTTCTGTACAGGTTTTAAAAATATTTGTAACCTTCTATTGTAGCTTTAATATATCCTTTGAATTTGCGTCATTCAAAATTATTTCAGAAGCTTCTAAATTTCTAAAATCAGAAAAAAAACTGTTAGTTATTCATATATTAAAAAGTTAACTTTTTTATTTACGATTTTTCTGACGTTCACATATAACTCCTTTGAGGGGCGGTGGGACGTATAAGTCCCACCTTTTGGTTTACTTTTTCTTGTTTTTATGGCATATTTGGATATTAATAACCACCTGTTTTTATTTATAAACTCTAAGGATATAATTTAATGACTTTAAATGAGGTTTTATAAACAATATATTATTGTTAACCTAATATTAAACAATCAATCTCTAAAAATTCAATTTCTTAATGAATTAATTTGACTATTATTAAACGACGAGTCATAATACTCTGAAAATTTTTTTTACTTGTTTTACATCCCTAAAACTACAATGAATATTATTATTAATAATTTTTAACACGCTAATTTTTTAAAATTTATTGTTTATAAATTGAACTTTTCAAAAATTTAATTTTGTCGACCCTTTCACGCCCCTAGGACATATATACGTTCCACCTACTAAAAAATCAATATCATTGACAAAAATTAATATTTTTAAGTCTAGTGCGTTATCTTCAGAAAGAATAGAGCTTTAAAAATATGTAACCTAGATCATGTTAAAAAATTTCTATTGTTTAAAAAAATTCATAAATTATTGTTAAAAATCACGAATTTTTTAAACATTTTAAAGTCGACTAAAAATTGTTACTCGGAGGTTTTTGGGGTCGCTAATTACGAATATGACATCAGTTTTTAAAAATTTAAAATGTCTGATCCAATATGGCAGAAGATTTTTTAAAAATTGTTTAGTTTTACATGAAACTTATCACTCGAATCCGATTAATTAAAAAAAACAAATTTTATAATTTCACTTCAAATTCAAATTTCATAATTTTAAAAACTCCCGAGTAAAAATTTTTAGACAAATCCGGCAGCGTTTTAAAAATATGGTCGCCATATTGGATCATTAGTTAAACTCTAATCACAACTAGATAATATATTATCTAATTTTAAAAGGCCATAATTGATTTAGCTCTGTATCTATTATTTAATTAACTAGAAGCATTTGAGTGACAGCGTGTTAATTGTAGCAACTGCACAAAGTTAAGGTCGGTTTTTACAATACAAAAAATCATCTATAACATTTCTAAATTGAAGACAAATAATTTTTTATAACCGTTTTTACTAATTATTTATAATTTTTGGCTCAACGTAATAGTACGTGGCAGTTCCATAGAGATGGCAGCATTAATATTGTTTCTGTGGGATTCTGGTACAAATAATTTAAATATTATGTCCAAATTAACAGAAGGGAATCCGCACAAGAAACGTGAACATTGGTAAAAATAGAAATAATAAAAAGTAGTAATTAAAAAGGTTAAAACTGAAGATTTATTTCATCACAATTACTGCATGTGTTACAAGCGTAGTTCCAGGCGCAACTGAACAATTAGTCGCGTATACACATTCAGATTTTAAACGTACCCGCGCATTTGCTATCTCACTTATTGTGTGAGAGAGAAGTTAGTCTCCCTACGTGAGTAAGAAACAGAAACCAAACTTATCCTGCTACAATCCCCACATTTCGAAATGAAAGAAACTTAAACAATTTTTTTTTCATTAATTGTGAAGACGAATTTAGAAAAAACATGAGATTTTTTATTAAAAATGAGTGTGATTACATTTTTGACAAATATTTTACAATTCAAACGAATCTACTGAATGTTGAAAAAAGTATCCGTTCTCATTATCACTTGTAACAACTGCACAACAAGGACATTTTTTACAATAAAACACTTTATTAATTCCTTGGCTGTCAACGAGATTTCCACTGTTTGGGCCAAAAGTGTGTTGAAAAATTTTTTAATGGATTTTTATGAAACTTAGTACCCAAAGGTTTCTAAGGTCGCTGATTACGAATCTGAGATCAGTTTTTCTAAATTCAAAATGGCGGATCCAAGATAACGAAATTTTTTTTAAAATTACTCGGGAGTTTAAAGGGTCACTGATTACGAATCTAACATTAGTTTTCCAAAATTTAAAATGACGGATCCAATATGGCGGACGACAAAATAAAAAATTTATTATAATGGCTTGAAACGGAATACTCAGGAGTTTTTAGGGTCGCTGATTACAAATCTGACATTAGTTTTTTAAAATTCAGAATGGCGGATTCAATATGTCGGAAATTATTTTTAATGGTCAAATTCGTTTGAAAATGGTTACTTGGGGGTTTTCAGGATATAATATAATAATATTCAGGATAATAAAACGAAATTAATATTCAGATTGACTTGAAACTGAATACTCGGGGATTTTCAGGATCAATATGGGGGAAAATTTTTTAAAACTTATTAAATTTTTTTGAAACTGGTTAATCTGACATCAGTATGATAATTTTTGGTAAAATTAAATTTAGTATTTCGAATTTTCAAAAACTGATTTTAGTTTCGTAATCAGTAACCCTGAAAATCTCCAAGTATTAAGTTTCAAGTCAATCTGATCCATTTTTTATTTTGTCGTCCGCCATATTGGATCTGCCATTTTGAATTTTGGAAAACTTATGTCAGATTTGTAATCAGCGACCTCAAAAACCCCCAAGTATTTAGTTTCAAGTCAATCTAATCAATTTTTTATTTTGTTATCCGCCAAATTAAATCTGCCATTTTGAATTTTGAAAAACTGATGTCAGATTCGTAATCAGCGACCCTAAAAATCCCCGAGTATTACGCTTCAAGTCAATCCAATCAATTTTTCTATTTTGTCGTCCGCCATATTAGATCCGACATTTTGAATTATGGAAAACGAATGTCATATTCGTAATCAGCGACCTCGAAAACCCTCGAGTAACTGGTTTCAGGAATATTTAAGAAGTTTTTAATCCCTTTTTTAAGTGGCGCATATATGCGTCATGAACACTTTTGAACAGTTTTAGTTTTGCGCATATATGCGTCAGCGACAGTCAACGGGTTAAAAAAGTATACACTAAATGTGGACAACCAAGGCAGGCTTTTAAAGCTTAATCCTCATAGAATTGATATTAAAAAAATTTACTTTGTTAAGTATAAAGGTCTATTAATAATTAAAAAAATATCATGCAGAGAAATATTTACTTTTGGCATCTAAGAACCACACGGAAAGACCGAGATTATTAATTTTTGGATAAAATCACACTAGAATTTACTATTTTCACATTGCAACCACCGGAAATAAGGGGTCTTTTTGTATTTTTTACTATTTTCTACACTAAGTCACTAATCCGACAAATGTTCACCAAATTAGTAAAGTTTCTTACCATTTCGTCCAATAATTCCAAACAACTGTAGTAAACTCAGAAATATTGTGTACGTAAAATTACTATAGTCGTTTGTAAATGCAGAAAGAAAATGTGAAAGAAAAAATAGGGATTTTTATCGCCGGTTTGCCGACAATTCTTGACTAACGGAGATAAACTGGAAGGATTTTTACATACACAGACACACACACACTTATGGTGGATATCACGTCAAAAGTCAACCCAAAAAAAATGTTGTCCAATTATTCCTAAATTTTTTTATGATATGCCCTATAGGTAAGTAATTTGTCGGATAAATATTTTTGAATTTTATAAAAAATTGTCCGAAAGGGAGGGGGTAGAAGTTTTGAACTTTTGCCTGACACGCTCCACTTCGATTATTTCTTATAATTAGAGGAAAAATTTTTTAAAAAAATTAGGATATGGGTTTTTTAGATTTTTTTATGGGCTTTCGAATAGTACAGTCTATTTTCAAAATTTTTTTTATTTTGACACAAATTTTGAAAAAATAAAAATAAATTTTCACTTTTCGCATTTTTGGGTCCATTTTTTCTTTTTCCCTTTATTTTTAAATGAAAGCTGAGCTTTTTTCTGATGAAATACTTGTCTTCCAAAAAACCGTTTTTTTGTTTTCGAGAAATGAATTTTTGAATATAGCGCATCACGTCGTCGCGCTGCAATTTAATTTATAAAACGTTCCATTGAACTATTTTCTGCATTTTACAGGGTTGAGACTGACATTAGAACAATATAATGCCTGCATTATATATTTTAAAATTTTTTCTAATTAAAAAAAATATTTAATTTTTTAAAATTTTTTAACAAAATTTTTTTGCAATTTTATTTTTAATTTAATGCCTGTATTTTATTTTTTTGTTGGCTTTTTTTTACTTTAGCGGTTCTCAACTTTGTCTCTGCATTTTTTGTTTTAGTGCCCTTACTTTTTGAATCTTTTGATGCTGGAAACTCCACATAATTTAAACCCAACGAAGTTATTTTAAGGAACAATTTTTCGTCATTTGTAGGAATATCCTGTCGAGTCAAAAGATTAGAAAAATAAGGGCACTAAAACAAAAAGTACAGAAACAAAGTCGAGAACAGCTAAAGTAGAAAAGCCAACAAAAAGAAAAAATAAAATACCTGTTTTAAGAATGTAACGAAATGAGTATTTTGAAATATTTAAAAATCGGAGGAAATATTTCAACATCAAAAAATAAAAAAATGGGAAGAAATGAAAATAAATAAAATGTAATAGAAATAAGTCTAAAAATTTTTTTTTTAATTTTGTTAAAAATTTAAAAAAATATAATGCAGGCATTATATTGTTCTAATGTCAGTCTTAACCCTATAAAATGCAGAAAATAGTTCAATGGAACGTTTTATAAATTAAATTGCGGCGCGACAACGTGATGCGCTATATTCAAAAATTCATTTCTCGAAAACAAAAAAAAAACGGTTTTTTGGAAAACAAGTATTTCATCAGAAAAAAGCTCAGCTTGCATTTAAAAATAAAGGGAAAAAGAAAAAATGGACCCAAAAATGCGAAAAGTGAAAATTTATTTTTTTTTCAAAATTTGTGTCAAAATAAAAAAAATTTTGAAAATAGACTGTACCATTCGAAAGCCCATGAAAAAATGTAAAAAACCCATATCCTAATTTTTTTAAAAAATTTTTCCTCTAATTATAAGAAATAATCGAAGTGGAGCGTGTCACGCAAAAGTTCAAAACTTCTACCCCCTTCCCCTCGGACAATTTTTTATAAAATTCAAAAATATTTATCCGACAAATTACTAACCTATAGAGCATATCATAAAAAAAATTTGGGAATAATTGGACAGCATTTTTTTTTGGTGGACTTTTGACGTGATATCCACCTTATATATTTGTTGGATAAATATTTGAAGACACACACATGTTTATTTCACTTATATGTATAGACGCGGTTAATTAATACACGAAAACACAACTGCACGCACGTCAACGAATTTCACTGAAAGTATACATCTTTGTTTCCTTATAATATTGAATTATATTTACAGCACTTACGAGAAA